AAGAGAAGAGAAGAGAAGAGAAGAGAAGAGAAGAGAAGAGAAGAGAATTCTTTATTGGCCAAGTGTGATTGGACACACCAGGAATTTGTCTTGGTGCATCTGCTCTCAGTGTACATAAAAGAAAAGAGACATTTGTCCAGAGTTAAGAATCATCAGGTACAACACTTAATAACAGTCATAGGGTACAATAAGCAATTGAATCATACTAGGAAACAGTACGATTTGATTGCTTATTGTACCCTATGAGTATTATTAAGTGTTGTACCTGATAGGAAACAGTCAATATCAATCGTAAGGATACAAGGGACAAAGTTACAGTCATGCAGTCACAAGTGGGAGGGTATGGGTGATAAGGAGTGATGAGATGATTAACAGTAATAGTAGTGCACACTTTGTAAATAGTTGGACAGGGTTGAGGGAATTATTGACTCATATTTATGACAGTTGGCGACCTTCCAACAAACAAAGTCAATGGGGTAGCCATTCATTTAACAACTGTGTTACTGACTTAACAACTGCAGTGACGCACTTCACAACTGTGACAAGAAATGTGGTAAAATGGGACAAAACCCCCTTAACCAATGTCTCGCTTAGCAAAGGAAATTTTGAGCTCAACTGTGGTCATAAGCCGAGGACTACCTGTATTTGATTATTTTATGGGATCAAAATGCAGGAAGTACACCACTGACTTTCTCCTCATATAGGGAGTCTTTGGCCTACGACCATTCATTTAGTGACTGTTTGGAGTTAAAACAGCACCAAAAAGTGACTTGACCAGTCCTTGCACTTACAACCATCGCATTGTGATCCAAATTTATGCCTCTGGCAAGCAGCATGCAATTTAGAAGGGGTGCAGCATCCAAAGGTCACTTGATTGTCTTTTGCAACCACCCCAGGGGGCTTCCAAAAAGCAAAATCAACGGGGGGAAGCTGGATTTGCTTAACAGCAACGTGGTCCTGATCCCCTTCATGGGCTGCAGCTGGGAGGACTGTTTAAAAGGAGTAACTGCGCATGGCAAAGTTGCTGGAAGCGAAGTGTGCATTCTTGTCGGAGCTTATCTGTGTTTTGGCTTCCTCCCAACTGTAGTTGCTGTGTTATCTGGTAGAAGTCTGCAATTAATCATCCTTGCTTGCGGTAGTGATTCCTTCAGTGTGGGTTGTGTTGTGTTTTTTATTTCAAATTAACTTTACTTTGGGCGCGGACTGCATTTACTCATTTACTGTTTTCTTTAAGAGTTTGATATCCAGCGGAGGATAATTGGACATTGGGGCCAAGTTGGGGGCATTAAAGGGACCTTCTTCTATTTTTGTGACTTGCTTATTTTTGTGTCCTGTCCCGGGTCATCACAACACCCAGGTGTGACCTGAAGGCCCTCATCCTGCTTTGCAAGACATCTGCACGTACCGTAGACTTGTTTCGGGGTTCACGTTGCAAAGAGAGTTGATAAATCTCCTCTTCTGTTTGGTATTGATCCAGGGAGACCTACAGGAAACATAAATCAATTGATCAATCAAATCCTCGTTATGGTCATAAACCAGCATTGAAACACACCGAAGTCAGAATAAGGAGCAATCAGTGGATCCTTTCCTACACCCTTCTTCTCTCCAAAAGTGAGTATTTTTCAATATATTTAAAAGTAGTCTTTGACTTACGACCACAACTGAGCCCATAATTTCCATGGCTAAATGAGTTTTGCCCCATTTTACAACCTGTCTTGACAAGTTGTTAAGTGAATCACTGCAGTTATTAAATTAATACAATGCAGCTGTATTTCTCTTGTCACAGGCGTTAAGTGAATCCCTGTCATTAGTAAGTTAGCAACACGGTCATTAAGTGAATCTGACTTCCCTGTTGACTTTGCTTGCCAGAAGGTCACAACCGCCGTAAATATGAGTCAGTTGCCAACCGCCATAAATATGAGTCAGTTGCCAAGCATCTGAATTTTGATTAGGTGACTACGGGGAGGCTGCAACAGTTATTAAGTGCGAGAAACGGTCATAAGTCACTCTTCATTACCGTTGTAGCTTTGAATGGTCACTAAATGAACCATTGTAAGTCGAGGACTACCTGTACGAAAAGAATATCTACCGCGGAGCTCCAGGGGGGTTCTGGCTGGAGGATCTTACCATGAGCAGGTTGAGAAGGTCGGGGTTCGCCTCGAAGGGCGGGCGGATGCTTTGAACCATGGCCAGGTCGCTGAGGATGCTAAACAGCTGCTGCATCTTATTGCCGTTCAGGCGGGAGTGCGTCCGGTCCAGCCAGTCGGGAAGGGCCACGTGGACAGCCACCAGGTCCTTGAGGTGGACACCCAAGATGGGGAACTTGAACCCCACGCACTCCGCAAAACACCGCCGGTAGCGGCTGTAATTCCCTGCCGAAGACAGCAACTCCAGCAGCGACTCCCAGACCTGCAACGGAGCAAGGGGGAAGTTGGTCTCTGCTAATGAAGCATTGAGGACTAGTCACTTAATTCTGTTGGTGGGAGAAAACTCAGAACGGCTGGGGAAAAACGTGGCCTTGGATTGGAAACCCTGGTGAAGGATCAAGGCATAAGACACCATAGCAGGTCCCTTTTATTTTTATTTATTAATTTTCATCCCACCCTTGTTATATTAATTATAATAACTAGAAATCCCACAAACAGAATCAAGTGACTAGTCCTCATGGGCAACGCCCTCCTTAAAGCTCATTAATGAATTATTCTCCCAACAGAGAGGATAAAACAAGTTGCCATCATCTTTACAAAACAGATGTTTCTTTTCTTCCTTGCTATTTCTTTCAAAGCAACGGCAGGTAGTTCTCTGTCTTTGTATATCGGTTTCTAAGTTGCTTTTTTAACTGGATTGCTGTTTAACAGCTGGGAGTCGCCCAGAGTCCCTGTTCTGTAAGGAGCTCCCCACCCAAATGATCCAATAATTCCTCTTGGCTGGCATTCATTGCTGTATCAGAGCCGAGTTGGAAGGGGCCCTTGAGGTCATTTAGTCCAACCCTCGGACACTCTGGCAAGTAGCCCGCGCACTTCCTCTGAAATGCCTCCAGGCCCTCCTTAAATCATAGGCTCCACTATTTTGGTTGTGAGGAATATTTTCCGAAAATATGGCCTCTGTGCGGTATGCAGAGCAAGGAAAGGTTCGCCGTGTCTCACCCTGCCACCCCTTCTGACACCCCGAGACAACCCTTGGCCTTCCGGTCTAGGTCCTCCTTGTTGGTCTCAGCATCTGGTTCTCCCCCCTCCCCCTATACACACCTTTGTTCCTTTACCTTTGTCGTCTCTGGACTCACAAAGCTGTGTGTCTCCTTTAGGCGAGAGATGGAACTGTGGCCCAGTCCTCCGATCACGGCCATCAGAGTGTTGAAATTTTGCAGATGGAGAAGTCTCTGCAAAGGAGGGAAGAAGGGGGAAAGAGGTTTTAGGGGGTGGGGGGGAGACAGACACGGGGAAAAGATGCAATCAGTGGCACCCCATCACACCCCACACCTTCCTTCGGCCTTCACTGTGGTGTCCTTTCCACTTGGCTCCTCCTCTGGGCTTGATCAGTCAGCCGTGGCCACCTAACAGCTGTCCCTGAACTGAGCTCTCAGAGGAAATACAGGTGATCCTTGACTTACAAACACAATTGAGCCCAAAATTTATGTTGCTGAGTGAGACTGTTGTTAAGTAAGTTCTGACCCATTTCACGAACTTTCTTGCCACTGTTGTTAGGTGAATCACTGTAGTTGTTAAGTTACCAACACGTTTTTTAGGTGAATCTGACCTCTCCATGGACCTTGCATGTCAGAAAGTCGCAAAAGTGGATCCCATAACCCAGGGACATTGCAACCAACATAAATACTTGCCGGTTTCCATGAATATGAATTTTGCTCAGGTGACCACAGAGATGTTGCAAGAGTCGTAAGTGTGAAATATGATCATAAATAATTTTTTTCAAACCTGTGGTAACTTTGAATGGTCACTAAATGAATGGTTGTAAATCGAGAACAACCTGTATTGCGTTCTCTTTTTTAAAAAGTCTACAATCATAGATTCAATGAGCTTCCCTTCTCTCTGGCTGTTCAAAAAAAATAGTTTTGGCAAAAAAGGATGTTGCAAACGTTACACCATCCAGCACAGAGACAAACCAAACATGCTTTTTTTTAAGATACACCAGTGAATCTTACTGAGGGCCACACAGCCTTTTACAAAATAACACAACTTGCAGCCCTGATGAACTCAAGTTCTGAATTATTCTGGGCAATCGAAATACTTCTAAAGGACCAAATTTGCAATGTTTCTCAACCACATAGCTACTTTAAGCGCAGTGGACTTCCACTCCCAGGGGAGCTGATGTCGACCAGTCTTAACGGGGTTAAGATTGAGAAATTCTGGATCAGGAAGAGCTAGCTATCCATCCGTCCGTCCATCCATATCATCTATGTATCCATCATCTATCTACGTATCCTATTATATATCTATCATTTATCTATCATTATGTATCCTCTCTCTATATCTATCTATTTGCTGTCTATCTTTCCATCCGTCCGTCCGTCCATCTATCTATCCACCCACACACATCCACACAGCCACTTGTATGCCAGTCTTTTTCCTGATCTTAAAAGAATAGGCAACCTAGTGCAGTGTTTCTCAAGCTTAGCAACGCTAAAATATGTGGACTTTAATTCCCAGAATTCCCCAGCCAGCACACTGGTCTTAAAAGGGGTTACGATTGAAAAACACTTGGCCAGAAAGAGTGAGAGCCATTTGTGGATTAGGAAAGAGACAAGCAGAGAAGGTGACGTCACTGCTAAAATTATAACAAACTTGGAAAGCAAATACTTTAATTTATGTTTGCCAGGAAAAATGAAAGAAGGGCTTGCAAGCTTGCAACAACAGATCCTGCTGAGTTCAGAAGCAGGGTGAGCAACCCATAATCATCAACACACACATACACACACACACACACGCACACCACAAACCATGTATGGTCCCCAGCTTATTTTTGCAGCAAACTACACTGCCAAATGTGGGTAGTAAAACATGAAGAGACTGCAGCAGGAGATCTTTTAACTTAACAAATTGGAGTTTGTGTGTGTGTGTTTGTATGTTTGTGTGTATGTAAACGTGTGTTAAGCATCAGTCAAGTTAACTAATTATTCCTTTAAAATGAATAATTCCCTTAAAATGATTAATGTTAAAATTATTCCTTTCAGCCGCCTTGAAATGGGATTGGCAACTGGGCTATCCTCACTGCACTTCTTGAGAACCTAGTAAAAATAATGATAACAATGACAACAATAACACAAAGTCCCCAGCTAAAAATAAATGTCCCCCCATCCTCACCCTTTCTGCTAGAGGAGCACAGCCCAAAATATGAGATCTGGGCACTTGTTCCTGGTCACTTAATTTAGTGATTTGGTATTTATTGGTTTATACTATTTATATTCCAACTGGTGCCGTCTCAAATGACAGGAAAATTTCTTACTCCTGCCAAAAACCTGCTGCTAATCCTGTTTTTATCAAGAACTCGAAGGACAAAGGACCCAGGTTGCAACTCCATGAGCTGGCTTCATACAACATGCTAAGATCATGGAAGAGGATCATGCTGCACAGCCAAACTTATTTCAGCCTGATTAAGGGTCCTGTGTGGACCCAACTGGTTTCTGGCTCAACTCAGGACCTTCTGTTAAAAAGGACCCACAGATGAGACAGGAAACATTGTTCAAAAAGATGTTGTTTGTTCATTTTTGTAATTAATTCCTTCCAAACAGCCCCACCATTCCCAGCCAACCCAGTCTGAGAGAGGAATTCTGGGCTTGCAATCCAAGAGATATCTTGAACCAATGGAACAGCTTGCCTTTAGAAGTGGTGGGTGCCTCAGCACTGGAGGTTTTTAAGAGACTGGACAGTCACTTGTCTGAAATGGTAGAGGGTTTCCGGTTTGAGCAGGGGGCTTGCTTTATAAATCCTTAGTAAGGCCACACCTGGAATATTCACCCAGTTTTGGTCCCCACATTACAAAAAAAGATGTTGAGACTTTGGAAAAAGCTCAAAGAAGAGCAACTAGGATGATTAAAGGCCTGGAGGCCTTTAATATAAGAATGGTTGCAGGATTGGGGTATGGTTAGTCTAGAGAAAAGAATGACTAGGGGGGACATGATAGCGGTATTTGAGGGGCTGCTACAAAGAAGGGGTCAAATTATTCTCCAAAGCCCCAGAAGGCAGGACAAGAAGCAGCGGATGGAAACTCATCAAGGAGAGAAGCAACTTGGAACGAAGGAGGAATTTCCTGACAGTGAGAACAATCAACCAGTGGAACTGCTTGCCACCAGAAATTGTGGGAGCTTCATCACTGGAGGACAGTCACTTGCCTGAAATGGTCTAGGGTCTCCTGCTTGAGCATGGGCAGGACTAGAAGACCTCCAAGATCCCTTCCAGTTCAATTTTGATTCTGACCTCCAAGGTCTCTTCCATCTCTGTTCCGATTAATTGATTGAATAGAAGTCTTGAATATAAGTCTGGGTGGAATACAACTTAATGGCAGAGAATAGTGTTTCTCAGCAACTTTAAGATAGGTGTATGGACTTCAACTCCCAGAATTCCCCATTCAAAAAAGTGACTTAGGATTGGTATTCGCCCTTAGGTTGGTCGCAACACCCCCACGATTGCATGATCAAAATTTGGATGCTTGGCAACTTGGGATGTGTTTACATTGCTCATGTGATCACCAACCTTCCCAGCAGGCTTCCAAAAGGGTCAACTGGGGAAGCCCGATTCACTTACTGACCCTGTTCATTCGCTTAACAACGGCAATGATTCGCTTAACCACTGTGACAAGAAAAGTCGTAAAAGCGGCTGCGTCTCACTTAACAACCGCCTCATTAAGCCACAGAAATGTTGGGCTCAACTGTGGTTGAGGACTCCCTGTAATGCAACCAAAGAGAAAAAGACGGTGGCAGAAATGGTGTTGCCAGCCTGGACATCTCACCTGGGCCACCATGACGAAGCGGGTGATGACCTGGGCCCGCTGCTGAGCGGTGGGCTTGCTGAGCACCATGAGCTGAATCCACTGGGAGACGCTGTTGAAGAGAGTGATGAACCTCTCCAGGATCGGGTTGTCCACTGTGCATCCGTGCATCACAAAACTGTGATAATCCTGGAACTGGGAAAACGGGGAGGGGGCTTTCAGGGCTCAGGAAGAGAGGGGATTTCACCGTTGAGGGGAAGAGAAGCTCCGGAGATGCTTCCAAGGCTTGTGAGTGGCCAGTACAAGTAGTCCTGGACTTAAAGCAGTTTGTTTAGTGACCTTTCAGAGTTACAGCGTGACTTATGACCGTAAGGTTTTTCATGCTTGCAGCATCCCCATGCTCACATCATCAAAATTTGGATGCTTGGCAACTGGTTCATATTTATGATGGTTCCACTGTCCCAAGGTCACGCCATCCCCTTTTGCAACCTCCTGACAAGCAAAGCCACTGGGGAAACCAGATTCACTTAACAACCATGCAGTGATTCATTGAACAACTGTGGCAAGAAAGGTCGTAAAATGGGGCAAAAATCACTTAACAAATGTTTCCATGATATAAAATTTGAGCTCAGCTGTAGTCATACGTCAAGGACTACCTGTACTTGGCCTTACGGTAGGATCAGGATCTCCATCAGAGCCTTTCTGGCTGGGGATGGTGGGAACTGAAGTCTCCTTCTCCCACCCACCTGTGCACTCACCAGGATTTTGCTGAAGGAGCAGTATTCAAGGTGGGTGAGGTGTTCTGCCAGTTCTCCTGACTCCAGGTGATCAAAAAGCAGTGACATCTTGCGCTTCTTCTGTGCAACGGGGTGCCGCTGGGTCACCTGTCTCTTCCACTTGTAAGTCGGGCTGGATGGAGGAACCCCAAAAGACAAAACTACCCTGAATTCGACAACTCAACAAGGAAAAAGAAAAAAAAAAGACTAATATCCAAGAATGTCAGCCATGTAAGCTTACCTGAAGCACCTCTTACCTTAACATCTGGTAGAGTCCAAACCAGCTGACTAGGTTTTTGCCCAACTTAGTTACTGTATTAACCTACTTCCTGAGTTCGTACTTTGTCCTGAATCGTCAACTGTCCCACAACCGATCCACCTCCGCCTTCTTCTCTGCTCTCTCTATCTGTCCATTTTTTGGGGTGTGTGTGTGGGGGGGGTAATCCTATTGATGCATTCTCATCAAGTTCTTTTTCATCGTTTATCACAGGAGTCTCCAAATTTGTCAACTTTAAGACTTGTGGACTTCAACTCCCAGAATTCCTCAAACAGTCAATTTGCCAAGTTGGAGACCCCTAGTTAATTTTATTGTTTTATTACCTTTAGATTTCTATTCACACCCTTTTCATTTCTTTCTTATTGTAGTAAACCGCCTAGAGAAGCCCCACGCCAAGATAGGCAGCAAATAAATTTAACAAATAAATAAATATAGAGCCATTCAAAACTCCAACAATCCATCCAATTCCTCTCACAATGAATCACATTTGGTGTTTTGCTGATGCAGCTGCTGGACCAGGAATTGACCCAGAGACATCCAGCCAGAACTGGAAGTGCTGCGGGAGGATCGGAAGGAGAGTTATGGACACTCAAGTCCGGTCCTGCCGTTTACCTACACGCTCTCAATATCGATCAGGTTGCTGTGTCGACGGCTCCCTTCCCGCCCAAGAAGTTCCTTCAACTCCTTGATCTGCTCGGCCAGTTCTGGGTTGAGGTCAAACTCTGCAGGGAAGGCTGAGACCCAGTACCTGTCAGGACAAATAGGGAGGTCTTAATACCCCCAAAGTGAGGGTCTACTAGGAAAATGATTTCTCTCCCCACCCAAAAAACACATCCTGGATGAGTTGGATTGTCTTCTTTCAAACCTCTCAGGCGCTGGCCAAGTTCTGCCTTGCTGGAGGTTTCCAAACCTACAAGTTTTGATGTACAATCCCAGTATGGCACCCAGTGCCCTCCAGGATTAGAACATAGAATGATAGAATTGGAAGGGATCTTAGGAGTCTGCTAGTCCTAGGAGACCCTCTATCATTCCAGACAAATGGCTGTCCATTCTCTTCTTGGAAACCTCCAGTGATGGGAGCACCCACAACTTCTGAAGGCCAGCTATTCCCCTGGTTGACTGTTCTCACTGTCAGGAAGCTTTCTCCTTAATTCTAGGTTGGACTTCTTCTTGATGACCTTTCACTGTTACTTCTTGTCCTGCCCTCAGGTACTTTGGAGAATAGGTTGACTTCCTCATCTCTGTGGCAGCCCCTCAAGTATTGGAAGTTTGCTATCACGTCCCCCCTAGTTCTTTTTTTTCCCACTAGACTAGACACACCCAATTCCTGCAACCATCCTTTCTATGTTTTAGCCTCCAGTCCCCTAATCATCTTCGTTGCTCTTCTCTGCGTTCACACTGTTAGGAAATTTTCCTTAGTTCTAGGTTGCTTCTCTCCTTGATAAGCCTCTATTTATTATTTCTTGTCTTGCCTTCTGATGCGTTGGAGAATAATTTGACCCCCTCTTCTCTGGGGCAAGATACAAAGTATTTGACCCCCTTAAACATTCAAACACGGCTATCATGTCACCCCCAGTCCTTCTTTTCACTAGACAAGCCCTACCAAATTCCTGCTACCGTTCGTCAGGTTTTGGCCTCCCACATTCTTTCTAGAGTTTCCACATCTTTTTTGAATTGTCAGCCCGCTTCCAGTGTTAACCCCATCAAAACAATCTTCCTGGAGCAACAGTCGATGGTGCCTCAATTCCATAAGAAAATGGGGAGTTGGGAACAAAAAGGGGTCTCTTTCCATTATGGGGAAACCCAACACACTAGAATAGGAGCCTCCAAACTTAGCAACTTTAAGACTCGTGGACTTCAAACCCTTAGAATTCCCCAGCCAGCCCTGCTGCGAGCGGGGGGGCCACAAGCCTTGAAGTGGTTAAGTTTGGAGGTCCCTGATCTAGAACAACTTCCCTCAACTGGCCGCCCTGGGAGCCACTTTTGGACAAATGAATGGATCGGCAGCCAAAAAAGCCAGCACTCCATCAAAGGTGCACCCATAGTTATCCACCGTGCTTCCCACCAGAACCACGTTCCCCCCACTCCCAGCCGCTCACCTGACTAGGTGGCAAGTTTTAACTGGCAAGGAGCTGTTTTCTGATCCACGAGACTCTTGATAAGTTCAGGACAGAATTAAGGAGCAAATAAAAGAGATAATAGGTATATATGTATTTCTCTGCGTCGATTGCCTATGCAGGTAGTCCTCGACTTAACAACAGTTCATTTAGTAGTCATTTGAAGTTAACTGGGAAAAGTGACCTATTACTGTTTTTCACAAGTTACAACCATTGCAGCGTCTGTATGATGCAGGGGATGTGCGCCCCTTTTGTGACCTTCTGACAAGCAAAATCAACGGGGAAGCTAAATTCACTTAACAACCGTCTTACTAACTTAACGACTGAGACGATTAGCTTAACAACCGTAGCAAGAACAGTCGTAAAATGGGGCAAAATTCAGTTAACAAATGTCTCACTTAGCAACTGAAATTTGGGGCTCAATTGTGGTAATCAGTCAAGGATTATAAACTCCTTGGCCCCTCCCAATTGTGCTATTCTGTTATTCTCAGGAACCACCACTGCCCAGTCAAATCAGCCCTGCTGTGGACAGAGAGAATATGGAGGAGATTGGCTTTGGTGTCACGGACTCTCCAATTCTATTCACTTAATCCAATCAGTTGTTGCGAACATAACCTTTGGGCATTGCTCACTCATCTTAAGTCTCATCACCTTGCAGGGAAGATGTTTTATATATATATAATTATATATATATATATAAAATTAAATTAAACTGGACAGCGTCTGATCCAGGAGTAGAGATTTAGTATTCCAGAGATGTTCAAGCTACCCAGTTTGAGAATGCTGATCTGTTTCCATTTAATTCATACAGCAAATTATATTACTGTAATATCACTAGCTCGTGGCTTTGGGATTTAGCAGGCCACCTTTATTTTATTTTTTTCAATTTTTTTCTTTGTTAAAGAGCGGGAGAGCTCATTCTGCTACAGTCAGTGAAAAGCAGATATCTTTTGAAAATCATAACCATAATTTAAATTTAAATCTGAATACAAAAATCATTTTTTTTTAAATCATAGCCATTTGCAAAAACAAGGGACAGCTACAACGCAAAGAGGATGCAGGCTAATTCATTACCCTCAACTTACAACCATTTATTTCGCGACTGTTCAAAGTTACAACAGCACTGAAAAAGCGACTTACCACTGGTCCTCACACCTATGACCATCACAGCATCACTGGCCACATGATCAAAATGTGGCCCTTGGCAACCAGCACATATTGATGGGGGTTGCAGCATCCTACCATTTGCAACTTTCCAGGTGGCTTCAGATAAGCAACGTCAATGGGGGGAACTGGATTTGCTTAACGACTATATGATTCACTTAAAAACTATGCCAAAAAAAGGTCAAAAAATCGACTGCGACTCACTTAACAGGCAGCTTGCTTAGCAACAGAAACCCTGATCCTAACTGTGGTCATAAGTTGAGGACTAACTGTACCTGTATCTTACCTCCACCAGATAGGAAATCGACTGCATGGCACGCTAAAGCTCCTTTTATTGACCAGTTACCATAGCAGAACCTCCTTTGCCTTCATAAACTGGTAGTCCTCGACTTACAATGATTCTTTTAGTGACTGTTCAAAGTTACAAATCACACAAGTGGGTTAGGACCACTCTTCACCCAACCATTGCAGCATCCCCATGGTCAAATGATCAACATTTGGGTGCTTGGTAGACATGTGTGAGTAGGCGGCAATATAAATTTTTTAAATAAATAAAATAAATAAAAAGTACAGCATCCTGGGGTCATGTGATCACAATTTTGCCAAGATTGAGAAACACGGAGCATAGAATAACAGAGTTAAAAGGGATCTTGGAGGTCTTCTAGTCCAACCCCCTGCCTGAACAGGAGACCTTAGATGATTCTGGACAAATAGCCGTCCAGTCTCTTCTTAAAATCCTCCAGTGATGAAACACCCACAACTTCTGGTGGCAAGCTGTTTCACTGGTTAATTGTTCTCATTATTAGGAAGTTTCTCCTTAGTTCTAGGTGGCTTCTCTCTTAATCAGTTTCCAACTGTTGTTAATTTTTCTGCCTTCAGGGGCTTTGGAAAATAGCTGGCCTGCAGGCTCTGGGGTCAAATTAAACCAGTGTTGTTCAACCTTTCCCACTAAGATGTGCGGACTTCAACTCCCAGAATTCCTCAGCCGGCCATGATGGTTGGGAGAATTCTGGAAACTGAAATGCACACACCTTAGAAGGATCAAGGTTGAGAAACACTGAGCTAAGTTCACTTCAGAATAGAAACTGTGGAGGGACAGAACTGGGGGCCAGTCCAAAGGATATATTTGAAGCAGTTTCGCAGCCAGCTCAGAGGATGGGATGTACCACGGATGCATCATGAGAAACATGCGGACCAGCTGCGGGTCCCGGACCTTGCCCTCATTGTCTGCAAAAACAAAAACAAAAAAACAAAGGAGGGGAAGTATAAACCCAGATTAAGCAATCCATCTGAATGCAGTCCCATCAGATTTAAATCCCAATTTCTCATAGTCTGTCTCTCCCGCACTCTCTTCCACCAGTTTGTTTAAATCTTCCCATCTGAGGATGTTTCAAAGTTACAGGGAGTCCTGGACTTAGAACCATTCGTTTACTGACCATCGGAAGATACAATGGCCCTGAAAAAAGTGACTTATGACCATTTTTCATTTACAACCATTGCAGTATCTCAATTCAGACACTTGGCAACTGACTCATATTTATGACGGTTGCAGGGTCCTGGGGTCATGTGATCCCCTTTTGCGGCCCTTCGACCAGCAAAGTCAATAGGGAAGTCCCATTCACTTAACCCTTGTGTTATTATTTTAACAACTGCAGTGATTCACTAAACAACTGTGGCAAGAAAGGTTGTAAAATGGGACAAAATTCATTTAACAACTGTCTTGCTTAGCAACATAAATTTTGGGCTCAATTCTGGTTGTAAATCGACCACTACCTGTAGAATAGAATAGAATAGACAATAGAATATTAGAATAAAGATAGAATAGAAAGAGAAGAGAATAGAGTAGACAATATTAGAATAGCAATTAGAATAGAATATATAATAAATATTAAATATAATAATATAAAATGACACAATATCAAAATATAATGTACAGTATAAATCCAACCTTACTGTCAACACTTATGGTCATTGTTAAAGTGGAAGTGAGATCCACAATCTCCAATTTCTTGTATCCCACTGTGTAACCCTTAATTAAGCATTATGGTTACGATAAACAGAGTTTGTGTTTTAAACCCAGCAGTTGCTGGAATTCCTTCACAGTGACTTTTTAGAGTTTCTGCAATAAAATAAAAGCTACTTCTCAGGACTTCATGAATTCTTGCAGACTCGCTTAATGGTTTTCAGTCCAGCCTCCGGGCAGAGAAGCTGGAGAGCCACGTATTGCAACTAACGCAGCTTGCAAGCTTGCAACAGATGCAGGTAGAGAATTGCATCATGTCTGCAATGACGTCATTAGACAGCTGTCATCCTTACCAAAGGCTTCAATGCATCCATGTAACAGTTCATCCACTGTGCATCCTTTCTCCAAGTCTAGTGTTGCCGACATTTTGGCTATTTGATCTTGTCACTCAAAATCAACCCAGTCTGCAACCTCTGTTGGCCAATACAGCGACACCTAAAATGATTTTAAAAACAAATCCAAATGTTAGTGTTAGTCTCAGGGATCATGGAGAGGAGATGGAACATTTAAAAGTCAACTCTGGTTCAAGAGGAATAGAAGGATCATCGGTATGGGTAGTCCCAACGATGCTTTTTCAAGAGGCAACTGGATTTTCTGATTCTTCTTTGAAGATGTTTCGCTCCTCATTCAAGAAGCTTCTTCAGTTCTGACTGGATGGTGGGGAATGGAAGGATTTATACTCCTTGCAGACAGCTGGTCATTTGCATCCTTTTAGAGAGTTGTTGAGTCCATTTGGAGGTTTATCTGTGTCCTCAGGGTTACCTGAGTGGTGCAAATGGGCGTGGAAGGACCCATTTACCTGAGGACACACATAAACCTCCAAGTGGCCTCAATGACTCTCTAAAAAGGATGCAAATGACCAGCTGTCTGCAAGGAGTATAAATCCTTCCGTTCCCCACCTTCCAGTCAGAGCTGAAGAAGCTTCTTGGATGAGAAGCAAAATGTCTTCCAAGAAAAACCAGAAAGTCTAGTTGCTTCTTGAAACAGCACCTTTGGGACAACCATAATGTGGAGGATAGTCCTCTACTTATGATGATACATTTAACAACAGTTTGAAATTGCAACAGCCTTGGAAAAAGTGACTTTTTACCATCCTCAAAGTTACAACTGTTGCATTACTCCTATGGTCATTTCGGTGCTTGACAACTGACTTGCATTTACAATGGTTGCAGCGTCCTGCAATCACACAATCCTGATTTGTGATTGTCTGACAAGAAAAGTCAACTGGGAAAGCCAGATTCGCTTCATGACCATGGTAAAAATGTCCATAAAATCAAGTCAGGTCATGTAATGACTCACTTAGCAACTGCATCATTTAGTGACTAAAATATCAGTCCCACTTGTGGCCATAAGTCGAGGAGGAAAAATACTGTAAAGGATCTGGGCAAGAGGAGAGAGATGATGGCTGTCTCCTAACATCTAAAGGATTGTCATACAGAAAAGAGGTGCACCTGTTCTTAGTTGCTCCATAAACCAGTACTGATGAGTTAAAACTGCCAGGAAGGAGATTCAAATACTGTATCAGGAGAAAAATTTAGACTCTGCAAGTTGCCAGCCAGTGGAACAGACTGCCACATGAAATCGTGAATTCTAGAGTCTGGAGAGCCAAATATCTGTGAATTCTGAGCTGACCATCAGCTTGGATCAGATGAAGTCTACAAGCCCTTTCCAATTCTGAATTCCATGAAATAATCGACTTTAATCAGCTTTACAGGTAGTCCTTGATTTACAACCATTCATTTAGTGACCTTTTGGAGTTACAACAGCACTGACTTATAAACATTTTTCACACTTACAACCATTGCAGCATCCCCATGGTCACATGATCAAAATTCAGACTCTTGGCAATTGGTTTCTATTTATGACGGTTGCAGGGTCACGTCATTCCCTTTTGCGACCATCTGATAAAGTCAGTTGTTCCCTTGTTACTAAGTTAACAACTGCAGTGATTCATTTAACAACAGTAGCAAGAAGACGGTAAAATGGGTCAAAACTCAGTTAACAACTTTCTCGCTTGGCAACAGATCATAAGTCAAGGACTACCTGTATTTCATTCCGTTATTGCTCCTATAAAAGAAGCTTCAGTAGATTCTACCATCTTCTCAAATTGTTTCAGGATTTATTTTTTCTCTGGCTTCTTTTTTTTAAATCCTCCATTTATTGTTAAAATATTGCAATACAAATAAAGTAAGGGGTGGAAAGCAAGATAAAGAAGCAAACAAACAGACCGCTGTGTTTCCATTTTAAGAGACCCCAGTGAAAAAAAGGGCAATTAAATTACATTTACATGATAGATTCTCTATTTCTCTTCCATCTGTAACCCGAACGGCTGGGCACCGTTTAGATATTTGAACTTTTGCATTATGCATTACTAAGAGATGCTACTTTCTAGTTGAGCCCTCAAAACGATATTCCAGATGTCTAAATCCCCCTTTCTGTGTGATATATTGCATGTGAGGGGGCCATTTCTGCTTGAATTGAGTTAAACTTCCATTATCGATATATATATATATCATCAGTTTTGACACCATAGCATATTCTCCAATTTTAGTCTCACACTCTGATATCCGAGGCAAAGTATGCCTTTTCCAATTTTGTGCTAAGTTTATTCTGCTGCAGTGAGCAGACACCTTGTTAAATGGTGGCATTTCCCCACACAATTTTATTCTCCTGGAATCATGTAGAATAGAAATGTCTGGGGTTTGAGTTCAAATGTTTACATTTTGTTGTGGATTTTTTTTTTGGGGGGGGGATGCATTTCCAATACAGGTAGTTCTCGACTTACGACCACAATGAGCCCAAAATTTGTGTTGTTAAGTGAGACATCTGTTAAGCCCCCATTTTACGACCTTTCTTGACACCATTTTCTGCACCATCACTGCAGTTGAGTAAAATGGTTGTTAAGTGAATCTGGCTTTCCCATTGACTTTGCTTGTCAGAAGGTCGCAGAAGGGGATCACGTGATCCTCTGGGACAGAGAAACAGTCACAAATATGAACCAGTTGACAAGCACCTGAATTTTGATCCCTGAAAAGGTCGTAACTCTGAAAAGCGGGCAATTATTCTGGGACTGAACTGATGCTATAGAATATCATAGAAGTTTTAGGTCACTAAAGACCCGTTGTTGCCCAATGAAGAATACGTCCAGCAACAAAGCTGCCTCTGATTTCATCAAATTGTCTTTCATGAACTAGAATGAAAACAGGCAAGAGTGGACAATGGAGCGGCCTTTTCCTTTCTGCCATTGATTGAGACATGCCGGGGAATTAAGTCTTAGCAGACAGGCTGTCAACCACCCTTAGTGCAAAAACTGCAAAGGTATACACTGCAACATAAGTTTATTAAAAACCCCTAATTTTTAATGCTGCCCTCTAAACTCAGCTTTTGGGAAGACCATCAGAACATGAGTAACACAGACCAGATCTTTTTCATCATGGGCCCAAGCCTGTGAAACTCTGTGCCACTGGAAACAATCCAGGACTTACATTCCCAGCTTTTAAAGGTCTGCAAAAATGCGTATAATTCCAACTCTTCTCTATCAAGACCATGTTTAAGGCTTTTATTTTAAGCTGCAGCTGCATTTTATTTTATTTTTTTCTGCAGGACTTTGATCTATTTTTATTTGCATTTAAATGCTGGATAATCTGGTTGGCTATTAGGCAAGCCAACAAGAGATTTCTTGGAAAAGCATATTCTTTGCAATTCTTGACCATTTCTGGTCAATTTCTGTCTGCCTTCAAATTCTTCAGTTCACTGGGTCCTATCTAACAAAATACAATGTAGAGAAAAGTAAGGCAAGTTATAGAGACAGGCTACGTGAAACTTGGCTTAATGCCAGTAACTGTGAGAAGGCTCTTGGACTCCAATGGACAATCATTTAAATATGACCCAAGAATGTTCAGCAGCAACCAAAAAAAGGCCAAAGCAATCCTCGGATGCATTAATGGAAGGATAGAATCAAGATCACGTGAAGTGTTAATACCACTTTATAATGCCTTGGTGATACTGCATCCAGTTTTGGTCACCATATTATAAAAAAAAAGACGTTGAAACTCTGGAAAGAGCGCAGAGAAGAGCCACAGAGATGATCAGGGGGCTGAAGAATGACTATGAAGAACAGTTGCAGGAATTGAGTATGTCTAGTTCAATAAAAATAAGGATTAGAGGTGACATGATAGCGGTGTTCTAATATTTAAAGGGTCGCCACAAAGAAATGGGGGTCAACCTATTTTCCAATGTACCCAAAGACAAGACAAGGAATAATGGACGGAAACTAAATTAGAAGACAAGCAACCGAGAATTAAGGAGAAATTTCCTAACAGTAAGAACAATCAACCAATGGAACAGCTTCCCCCAAGAAGTTGTGGGGGCTCCATCACCGGAGGCTTTTAAGAAAAGCCTGGACAGCCACTTGTCTGGAATGGTATAGCGTCTCCTGCTTAGGCAGGGGGTTGGACTAGAAGACCTCCAAGGTCCCTTCCAACTCTGTCATTCTGACTCCTTGTGACTGGATTTATATAACAAGTTAGAATGGGACTGAATGTGGTTTCACGACTTCGGCTCTTCTCTAATCTGTTGGGTGAACCATCCCATCCCCTTAAAGCAGAAGATGTTTATTTGAGCATCAGGTTTAACCCAAGTTTATTAACCTGTTGTGCGAATGCTAAAATTGACACTGATGACACGGAGGAATTGAGCCCCCGAGTAATAAACTTAAGAGGAAAGATTCCCCAAAAGTTTCTTCTCTGCCCCAGAGCCCCTAGCATTCACCCCCAACTTTAAAGGAGACTCGAAAGTCACGGTGGCTTCACATGCTACCTTGTGCAGAGACGCTGTTTAAAAGGAAAGCAGCTGCTTCACACATTGTGAACGCTTTGTGCCAACGCAAATCAGTGTGAGGGTAACACTAGCCGGCTACGGCTTCTTGACATTTTCTCTGAAGGATCTTGCCATCCAAACCACAGAGGAGTCCTCAGCTTCCTGGACACTCCTGACTCCAGGTTTTAAAAAATACAGGTAGTCCTAGGCTTACAAGAGTTCATTTAGTGACCGTTCAAAGTACCACAGCACTGAAAAAAGTGACTCCGACCGTTTTTCACAATTATGACCTTTGCAGTGTCCCCATGGTCACCTGATCAAAATTCAGATGCTTGGTAGCTGGTTCATATTTACGACCATTGCTGTGTCCTGGGGTCATGTGATCCCCTTTTGCAACCTTCTGACCAGCCAAGTCCATGGGAAAGTGAGATTCACTTAACAACCGGGCTACTCACTTATCATCCTCAGTGATTCACTTAACAACTGAGGCAAGAAAGGTTGTAAAATGGGGCAAAATTCACGTAACAAATGTCTCACTTAACAACATAATTTTGGGGCTCAATTGTGGTTGTAAGTCGAGGACTACCTGTACGATTTTATTTT